GGACAATTTCAGAAATTGGATTTCTGATGAATGTATCGAGAGAATGGGCACACCTGAACCAACCCAATAGAGGGATGCCAAGGTTCACGCCACATCCTCCCCACGTGACCAGGGACAGACATTGTGTGTATTGCACAACACCCGCAGAATGAAAAAGACGACATTTGTATATCTGGGTTGTACAAACCAACGCCATCTATACTGAGACACAAAAGTTACTGGCCACATTCGGCATTCGGTAGGGCTGCTCTACACTATTTTACTGAGTGCTAACTAACCTCTTGCTGGAATTGTAAACCCAGAAAAATAAATCCATTTATAACATTAATGCAAGCCTGGAATGGAGTGTCCGTGGACATTATTCTTATAAAATGGAAGTATTCTAAACATATCATTATCAATGTCTTTCACCCTTGGCAGGGTGTAGTCCACATACAAGCTCCTTTCATCCTTCCAAGCTCGTTCCAAGTGAGCTTAATCTCTCTCATGTCCCTTTCCACACTGTCATCTCCTCCATGTTTTTCATGGCCTACCCCTACCTCGTGTTCCCTGTGGGTTCCACAGCAGCAACTGTCTTGTGATATTTCTGCTGGGCTTTCTGAGAGTGCGCCCCATCCATCGCCACTTTCTACTAAGTCCTATTTCAACCTTTTGTCCTGTCTTGTACCACAGCTCTTCATTTCTTATTCTATCCTGCCACTTAATTTTCAGTATACCTCTCATACATGATCTGTTGATGAAAGTCTGGACTTTATTCAGTACTGCCTTTGTTGTCTTCCAAGTTTCGCAGTCAAAGAGGAGCATAGACTTGACATTAGAGTTAAAGAGTCAAATCTTGGTGCGCAGTGAGATGGTGCTTGCTTTCCAGACTTTTGATAATTGATTGAATGCTGACGTTGCATTGGCTGGCGGTTCTTGCTTTTAAATCTGCCCACGTTCCACCTTTACAATCGATGACACTTCCAAGGTAGGTAGAGGAGTCCACTTCTTCCAGGGGAGTATCTTCCACTGTCTTTTCCTAAACATAGATTGCACATTATTTGCACCAATTTATTTCCTTTTCCTTTCACAAAGTGAAATCTTACAACTACTTCCACTTTCTGTAAAAAATTTCTGGTTCCCACACTTTTTGTTGTTGTTGACTCATTTCTAAAAAAGCAACTGTTATCCTGTGGACATTTCTTAAGTGATGTATTCTGTAGTAGTAGCCAGACATCATCACTCTGAAAAAGCCAAGCCTAATCATACCAAAACTAAGTGCAGCGGAGAGAAATCAGATTGTCAGTATGCATTCGTCAGGACATAATCTTGGGTGATTATTGCACAACAGTTTAACTGTTTGAAATCAAAGGACAGCAGCTTACTCAGCAAAATCAGTGTACAAAGAACAGCCAATGATCGCCCAAGATGTGGCAGGCCGAATAAGACAACCAGGCAGGACGATGAAACGTATTGTTGAGCTTTAACTTTTAAACTGTCAATCATTTGCCGCCATCATACAAACTGTGGCTGATGTTGAAGTTTGCAAAAAAAAGGCTCAAGCAAATAAGCCTTGCAATGCAGTCGCCTGTATACTTGCAGCCCGTTCAAGGGGCACTACTGAACAACCCGCTACAAGTGGGCGATTGCTCATGATCGAAGGTTCATTCAAGTCCCTGTGGGATACTGTGCTCTTCTCCAATGAGAGCAAATTAAATCTCTTTTTTATTCCTTTCTGATAGATGCCACCAAATCTGGAGAAGGGACGGTCAGCGATACTAAGACAAGTGTATTCTGCAGACCAATCGCTTTGGTGGAGTGTCTATCACTGTGCGGGCAGGAATCAGCAAGTACCATAGAGTGCACTTCAATAATGTTGTCAAAAAGCACTTCGGTACTTTTATCAAAGTGCACTTCATTTATGCTGTCTTTTGTTTGTTTGAGTAAGTGTTTTACGGCACCATCGTCTCAGTTTTGGTCATATGTGTCACGCCGCCGTAGAATTAGGCGCTCCTCAATTTTTGGGAATGTGTAGTTATTGGTATCGCCTTAAAGCTTATGCATTTGTCTTACTTTCGATGAACGAAATACCCATTTATCTTGAACACAAGTCTAGATATTTGCGATTGAAGGAGGCGGGGGTCGTTTGGTTTCAGAGGTAAAAACAGCGATAAAATGGTGACCAAAATTTGGTTATTTACATTGCCTGAGAGTCTATGGAAACTGGCAATTTACATCTTTTGTGCTATTAATCAACGTTTTTCAGCGAAACCCATACAGAAATGGGTTCTTGAATGGACATAAAAGGAGTAGAGCCAAAAAACAAGTTTTCTATAAAAATTGCCTACCCAGGGGAAAAATGCCAATTTCTTCAATGTCATTATTTTGATGAGCGCCTGATTTCACCACGATGCCTCACATATATTTATGTTGTTAAAGTGCACTCCACTGTTTATGTGGTACACTTCATTAATATTGCCAGAGTGCACTTTAGTACTGTTGTCAAAGTGCACTTCATTAATGTAGACCAAGTACACTACAGTAATGCAGACAGAGTGCACTTAAGTAACAACTACTGAATCAGCAGTCTTGAGTGTTGTGAGTTGTGAGCACGCCAACAGGCAGCTGTTTTATTGAACTACTATTTTGTGGTGTTTCTGACAGTTATAAGCTCTGGATAGTATAAAAAATCATACCACCATGTGTATTAAGATCATGTGATTCATTTGGTATAAAGTTTTCTTGAAAGAATGAAAATTACAAGAGATAATTCAACTTTTCTGTATTGGTGGACTGGTACAGTGTTGGTCTACTTGTTTTTCTCGGTTACTGGAGAAAGAGGAAAGACTTCAAACCGTCCAAAATGATGCTGCACGTTTAGTTTAACAGAAAAGAAAGCGAGACTCTGCTACACTTATTTTACGGACACTGTGCTGGCTTCCTCTTGAGAAAAGAATTGTACAAGTCGGTCACTCTATGTCACAAATTTTGAATGAGAATGCACCATCACATTAACCCTTACATTGCCACATTCGACATTTGCCGAATCCGCCGAAGTGCATTCTGGAGAAAGAGGAAAGACTTCAAACCGTCCAAAATGATGCTGCACGTTTAGTTTAACAGAAAAGAAAGCGAGACTTTGCTACACTTATTTTACGGACACTGTGCTGGCTTCCTCTTGAGAAAAGAATTGTACAAGTCGGTCACTCTATGTCACAAATTTTGAATGAGAATGCACCATCACATTAACCCTTACACTGCCGAAGTGCATTCTGAGTGCCACATTTGTCGAAATTTTCATAGGCCGAAGAGAATCATGAATTAACGAAAGCACGAAGCCTCCAAAGTTGATATGAGGAGTTAACTCCAGTTGGAATATATTTTTCTCGGCGTGGAAGTTGTTCTCGACGTTAGATCAACGATTTTTGCGAAGTTCGAAGTGATTTTTGCTGTTTCTTTACATTAGCAACCAGGAAGTTATGGATTCAGATGATGGGAGTAATCTGAATCGTCAGGACTCTGATTCTGGCGAAGAATTTGGTGTGGAATCGGATGATTCAAGTGCTAGTTTACACGATGAACCTAATGTCGATAGATCTAGGCCTAGTTCTAGTAGAAAGAGTGACAACTATCGAGACATCGATGAAAGGGGTGATGCTGGTAATGAAAAAAGAGGGGGCGAGGCAATCCAAATGTTCTTGTTCATCATTGGAACTGGGAGTATTCAGAAAATCCTGAAAACAGAAATCCCTTAGATTGGCACTTGCAGTACTACTTCCTACCCTCTAAAGATGCTGAAAATTTCAGTGCTTTATGCTAAACGGTTTATAAACGAAAGCAGTTTTCCCACGCCCAGTCATTTTTTTCATTTTTTTTTTACTGAAACGTGGTGGCAATGGGAATTACATAAGCCTTGGCTGGGCGTGGCAATGTCAATGTGAGGGTTTATCAGATCGTGTTGAAACTGTTCATTCCAACTCGCAGTTTAAGATCATCAGCTGACAAAAAGAAATGTCTTTTACCATCTATGAAACTTAGAACAAGGGGTGAAAGGGCATTTGAATATCAATCAAGGCCCCAAGATCTGGGATGCTTAGCCCAGTAGTTTAAGAGAGATCAAATCCTTTGATTCATTCAAATGTCAGCTGAAGTCATTTCTGTTTTTTAACTTGGTAAGATGAATATTTAGAGAGATTTTCTTTTGGTCCGAATAGTTGTTACGCCCCTTGTGTCAGGTGCGGTACCTCATGCCCATTTTAAACAATGTTCAAGTTTCATCTCTTGTTGTGTAAGTTTTTATGATCTTATATTAATACATGTTACAGGAGCTGATATGTATTACTGAATTTGTATTTTGTTGTGGACTTATACATGCAAGAGTATTGGCATAGTATTATTTCCTATTTTCAAAGAAAATAATTTAAAAACTTATAGACAAGTGGCGTGAGAAATGTTTCATTGACATTGTTTTATGTAACTGTTGTATTGTAAAACACTCAGAGCCTGTGTACTTTAATTGGGGTTGAGCGCTATACAAATGCCATATTTTATTGTATTTACATAACGAAGACCAGTGCACTTCACTAATCTTGTCTAAGTGCACTTCATTAATATTATCAGACTGCACTTCATTACGATGTGTCTAAAGGCTTGTACTGATCAAAGCAGAAAAATCTAAAAGAACAGGTTGTTCAGAAAGTAGGGAAAAATCAGGTTTGATCAGTACAAGCTTTTAGACATCAATAATAACACATCAGAAAACCTTAATTTTTAATCTTAACATATTAGTTAAAATCCCCCCCCCCCCCCAACCAAACGATATGAGGACCGAAAGATGTCGAAGACAAAAACTCTGCACGCTGCATCCACGTAGTAAAAGATACAGACATATTTTTCTCATAACAATGATGAATCTCACAGTGTGTGAATTAGCATCAACAAAGCAACAGGTGTTGGCTGTGCTCTCAAGTGAGGAGCGGCAAAAGTACACCCCCCCCCCCCCCCTAAAGATATTAAAGATATTTTTTAAAAACCTGAAAAGATTATTTTAGTGTCTGGTTTCCTTTCTTAAGAGACACTGAATGAAACTTTAACACTTTGGACAATTAACCCATTTGCTGCCAGGCCTGTTCCACAATTGTGCTAAACAGTTCTTGACAATCTCAGGCCAGGCAGGGAAGGGGTTAAACCAAAACAGATTCGTGGCCTCCAAAACTTGACACAATAATTACATTAGGCAGAATATGAAACAATTTAGGAAAACTTCCAACAACAGCGTTTTGCATTTTTACCAACTTGTCCTTTGGACCGATGCACCCTTAAATTCACAACACTAAACCACCTCGGAGGCCATGTTTTCGTTACCCCCCCCCCCCTCCAAAGAAAACCCCAAACAACCCAAGCCCAAACAATACATCCTTCATGTAGTTCTGTAAAACTGTATTCTTTGAGATTATTGAATTTTGTCAAAATAGGGTCGTAGTTGTAAGTTGTTTTACGTCCCCATCAACACAATTTAGATCATTTAGAAGGCGGGCCCCAGAGAGAGATTTCCCGTCCAGTACAAGAAGATCATCAAGAATATTTGACTAATAGAAAAGGTAGATTCATTTCCACCATACAAACAAAGCGGTTAAGTGCACCGCATCTGAGGGAAGTAAGAAATTATTTTGTTCACCTCTCAATAAAAAAAAAATCCCCTTTGACAAACTTCCATGTTTAGAGAACCTCACGGACAATATGTGACATTGACAGCCATGCAAATATGGCAGGAAAGGAATTAACTCACTAACTGCCAGGGATTGAAATCCCAATTGAACCTCCGACTTGGCATTTCAAGGTTTTTTTTACATCATTCACAGTTGGATAACTAATCAGAAGAGACACTTTTTTCGTATGCTCATTTGAAATATAGACAAAAATTAACACGGAATTGCGGGAGCTACAGGTTGAGGAAGTGCGTAAAGCAACCTGAAAGGTACTTAAAAAAACCAACCCAACCCTTTTTAACAGAACTGGGATTTAAGTATTCTAGATTACTTTTCTGACCATCTGGTAGGCCTTGTTTAATATCAGAACCTGCAGAAATTATCAGTTTTTCCGTTAAATGCTGGATGATATGCAACATCCACCGAAAATGGCGAAACACTAAGCCAGACCTAAAAAAAATACCTGATGCAACTCACCCCACCAAAAAACAAAACAAAACCCCTCCACGAAAGGTACACAATTGGATCAAGAGATGCAACTACAGAATTAAACAAGAATTAAATAGTATGCCATCACTTTCCGCAACTGTCGAGATTAAAGGCGGGTCAATAAAAAGTGTAAAAACAGGGGGCAGGTTCGGCGTATAATGTATCAAGTCTGTACCACAAGTAAGTTTCCCTGCTCTGTAGAATCAACAATTTTTATTTTTGATATAAATTTTTTTACATAACTCTCTTTATTTTCTCTAGCCCTATTGTAATGATTGACTCTTAATTTCGTTCAATTTACAATTTAGTTGACTTTCTTTGTCCCAAAAATATGTCTGTCTCAAAACCAGTACACCATTGGTCAGCAGACTGTCCTCAGGAGACAACAACCCACTTTATCTTCTCCGCGGGAGAGAAAACATCAGGACCAAAGATGGTGGTTGGTGCCCAAAACATGGGGAACATATGGGGTTTCCACACCATCAACGAGGAGTGTAGGGCTGCTCTTCCAGCCTCTGGGATCATCATCAGAGGTAAGCGCATTGATTTGTTGGTGGACAACCCGTTCTCAATGAGAGGGCAAGACAGCAAAGAAATACCACCAACAAACTAACTATTGACAGCGTGCCAATCAGTTATAGTAACAAGGAAATTTTAAAAAAGCCCAGAGGCCATCGATGTTGTCCCTCGTTCCAGGATTTTAATGGAGTTTTGCTGCTACCTAGACGGGAAGCTGACTAACCGGGTAACTAGAAGACGATTTTTGTACATAGATCTCCCGGAAAAACCCCTATCCAGAATGGTTGAAATGGGTCCTTTCAGAGCTTGTCTCTTTTATAGAGAAATGCCTCGGCACTGGACATTGGGCCAACAACTGCCCAAACCCTGAAAGGTGCCTTGACTGTTGGCAGGAGGGTCACAGGCGGAGACGAGCAGTGTCCCAATACAAGTAGTGTCTTTGGAGATCTTCGTAATGAGGATGCGAGTCAGTCTGAGAGTGGTGTCCGGCCTATTACTGATAGGGTAACTGCCAGCGAGGGAGAAGAAATTCAAGTCTCGCTGTATCCACACAAGTATCCGCACAAGTAAATGACGAGGGGCTAGAAAACTCCAGCGTTAATGCTTCTTCGACTGAAGAGGAGGGCAACGAGGGTACGGGGGACCAGATAAGTAAAAGGCAAAAAAAGACAAACAAGAAAAAAAAAGTAAGAAACTCACAAAACAGGAGTCTGTACATACACTGATTCGCAAGATTCTTCGACAGAAGAGGAGGGCAGCGAGGTTATGGGGGACTAGATTAGCAAGAGGCAAAAAAGGAGAAAAAAAAAGAAAAGTAGGAAACCCATGACGGAGCCAATAATTATACGGAATCGCAAGAGTGTTAAATAGAAGAAACCAGAAAGGTGTAGGAGCTTTGAAAGAAAAGGATGGTAATATATAACATCCGAAAAGACCAACTTACAAGGAAATTAGATGTACGGACGATAGGGGAAGAGGAAGAGGAAACATTACGGAAGTGAAATCAGCAGAGAGTAATATGTTGCACAAATTCCTCCACAGAGTGAGATCACACAGCCACAAACGAAGGCGTTCTTCGTCCCCGCGCAACGGTGTTCAGCCAGAAATCAGCCGCTGCGGACAGAGGGACAGAAGCCACAAAGACCGGAGGAGGCAGTAGAGAGGAGACAGGCTCAACGGACACTTGGGCTTCCACTTGGACAAGGATATTTCGACTACTGATATGGCGAGGAATAATAATGGAAAGACAACAAAAAATCAGCTGAAAGTAGCAACTCCTCAAGTACAGGACATCGGAACTACAAGAAAAGGATAGCGGTCTTTAGGAGCCTAAGAATCGAAAGATTAAGCATAAAAGCATTAAAAGATACATACCTAGTTGACTCATATTTTCAACAGATCAATAGGCAATGGGGAGGGATTATTCACTATGGTTCAGGTATGAATCACAGCAAGGGTATGTATGTACTCTTTTTAATCCATGGTTCACAGAGCAAGATGTGAAACTAATTTTTAAAAGTGAAAGAGTAATAATTTCGCCATTAGTTTCTCATACCTAAACAAATATGCTTTTGATTCAATACAAAAACTGTTGATCTCAAAGCACTTTTAAATCCGAACGAGCCAGTAGCGAAATGCAATGGACATGTCCGTTTCGGTCACAAAGTTAATATTTCTTCCTTGTCTTCAAATCCCTGCCCTCTTAGTACTACTTTGATTTGGGGGAAGAAGTGAAAGTCACATGGAATAAAGGGACATATTGCCCTTGGAAGAATCGAAACACATAATAAAATATGGTTGCATTCGTGGGATTCAGAACAGAAAAAAAAAATCAGCAAATTTGAGAAAAGTGGCCAGGTCTGCTCGAGCAAGTGGTCGTCTTCCACCATGACAAGATGTTGTGCTCACTGCTTGAAAAGTCACCCATCTCCTGGACTCCTGACAGTAGGAAATCCTTGAACATCAAAAGTATTCTCGTGACATAGCACCATTCAACCCTCATTTCTTCACAAAAAAAAAAAATCAAAGAAGGACCAAGGTGGCAGTGATTTCAGGACAAAAAAGAAATTGTGCTCAAAACAAATTCTCCGCCAAGGACTCTGGCCAAAACAGACATGGTCACTCCGTTTGGCTACCAACTCCATCAGATGAAAAAGCTCACTTATATCAACGGTTGTTTTGTTAAATAGAAAGCATATTTCTGTAGGTAGGCACAAAATTTCAGGTCTGTAAAATAAAAAATGTTGATTTTACTGAACAGGGAAACTCACTTCTGGGACGGACCTCGTATGTGTAGGCTTACTGACTCAGTGTCGGTATTGCCAGTCAAAGAGTCACGAGGACCTCGTCAGTTGTGCCTTTAAGCCAACAAACAAAAAGAAAACATTTGTTTGATTTAAAAGTAAAACTATCTACACAGTGCCATCAACACTGACAAATCAACATTTTTACACCCCTTCTGCTGGCTGGATGCTGTTGTCATCAATCCAGCATTGTCTGGATGCACAATATTATATTAGCAGCTAGTTCACCAGTTTCATACTGCTTTCACTTTGCTGCATCTTCACGATTCAGAAACATCCACACCCCTGGATCAGCTGCGACCTAATACCTTCTCCAAAATTCGCCTCACAACGGTGTTTTCGAAAGGAACATCAACCTGAAAGCATAAAAACAAAACAATGCAGATAGAAATATGAACTTAATACTATTAAAAGGATCTCAGGTCAGCATGACAGAAGATTGAAAATACGTGGAATCAAACACTGAAAACTGTATACAGGTGATTAAATAAACTGGGGAAAAGCAAAATACAAACAGATAGACAGTAAGGAAGTAGGATGAACCAGCTTCATCCTCCGCCCAACTACTGTCACTCCAGCTGCATAAGAAAAAGAGAGACAAACTGATGCCGTAAAGAAGTAAGATCAACCAGTGCCATGCTCCAGGCATCCGCTGCCACAAACTATATTGTCTTAAGCTGACAAAACGCCTTTTTTTTTCATTTCGGCGCCAAAATGTTTTATTTGCTAAATCAAAAGCTTGTTCAGTAACCCTACTTGTGTGAAAAAAATCAAATTGAAACTGTGACTAGTTTTTTAATAAATCAGAATTCAAATTTTGGAATGACTATTTTTAAAGGATTACGCTGACAAAAAAACTTTTTCTTGAAACCGCTCTAAAGCCCCGGTTACATGCAACAATATATTGTATCAGAGAGAACTGTCCGTTTTATCGAACTGCGTGGTCTGTTTACACGTTCCAATCTATTGTTCAGTTTTCTATTGATTGAGGAGATTTCTCGTCATAAAGCCACCTTGTCTCTTTGTGACGACAGCGATTTGCCTGCTCTCTATGTGAAGGTATTGAGCTCTGGACCTAATGAATGAGAGGCAAACACTACCACTAGATCACAAAAGCCCCCCCCCCCCTCCCCTGTACATTTTGACATAGCAGAACAGTGTCTTTAGAAAAGGGTGGCCATACTGTAGGCATACCGTGTGGTGTGTAGAACCGGAAGCTTTGACTTGACTGCAGATGTGCAACGCACCAAGTGACCTTGATGCACAGCTTCACAAATGACGATCAACTAAATAATAAAAGTGCTAAAATATACATAATAACGCACCAAATGAGGTTCTTCGCGAGCAACTTCGCTTATTTTGAGATGCTGATTCCGAATATGAAATCAGTTTTTACGTACGATAATTATTTTTAAAAATTAAGAGTCCTGAGTTTAATTCTGCGCAGCGGCAAATTTCAAAGTGAATCTACGTCACAGCGCGCCTCCCTCAAAACTGAACGTGATCGCACGGAAAATATCAAGCAGCGCTTGATTTCTCGACCGAGTCTTCAAACCATCGTTCAATCGTCCAAATTTTGTACAATTTTGAGGTAACACCTAACGATTTATCGTATGATCGCTAGATCGTCCAGTTTTTGTACAATTTATCGGTACGTGTAACCGGGCCATAAAAGAGAAAAAAAAGGCGTTTTGTCAGCTGACGGCAGTATAGCGATGGGGAAAGAGAAAGCGAAACAAACACATGGAGAGTGCACACTGCTGACGATAAAGGTCAGAGTAATGCTATTAGTCTCTGGTATCAGTTTAAAGGGAGTGCACAGATCTCTTTTTTCATAAAACCCCTTTGCAAATAGAGGGCCAAACAGGAAGGAGACTGAAAGAACAGCTACCAGCAGCTCAGAGACCAAAGTGTTACCTTTATTGGCAGTCCTAGCCCATTGTTCCCATTTAACTCTTTGACTGCCTTGACTACATCATATACCGTCTCTAGGTAGACATAGGCTTTTGTACTGTGAAGGGAAAACAAATACAACTATCAAGTGAAAAAGAAACATGAGTTTTTACATGCACAAAGTCTTCAATTTCAAATACATCGAAAGTAGTTATAATCAAATGCACTCCAAAAACAATCTTAAAAGAAAAGGAAATAATAATTGTCACCCACCAATCTCAATAACAAGCAAGGGTATTTACCACCACCCCCCACCCCAACCCAAACTAAAATTCATGACAAGGAAACTTAATTTGAAAGACATAACTAGAATTTTAAAGAGTTTTACAGCACTTGCAACACAAGTTAGTCAAATAAGGTGCGAAGATTAGGGGTGTTACTAGAGAGTAGCATACGTAGAAAAAGAGGAGTTAAGAACCATAGATCAAAGCACACAAGAGCGCCCACCCACATAAATACATTTATTTACATTTCAATCTCATCAACTCTAAGAAGCAGACAAAATGCAGTTATCATTTTAAGTATATACAGTATTGAAAAACAAAAAATGTGTGGATTGGACAGAACTGGACAAATCCAAGGATCACTCACCATCCGGGTCCACTGCCATTATTAACCATACAGATGTCCACTATGCCGTACGTCTCAAACAGTTCCCTCAAAGAGCTCTGAAATTGCAGATATCACATTCAAACTTTTAAAATATTAAATGAAAATTAATTTTTTTAGGAAAGGTATGACACCATTGATCTGTCACAACAAGAGAAATTCAATCAATTCATTGCAAGGCTTCATCTCCCCCCCCCCTCCCCCCCCCCCCCCCCCCCCAAAAAAAAAATCAACTTATTTGTGACACGATCATAAAACGCCTAGCTACACGTTTATATTCACAAACTTCTTTTTACCCATGATAGGAAGTTTCACAATTCAGTTGAGCATAATCAACAAACAAAATTTATATTGTCTCAGTAAAAACATGCACTTCCAATGTGAAACTGGTGAGAAAAGCAAGACAGACAGAGAGAGACAAAAGAGTAAAGAAATAGGACCTACCTGTCGTGCCCTCCAACCACTAGCGAAAAGGAGAAGTTTCATTCAAAATTTTAATATGAGAGAGAGAGAGAGAGAGAGGGGGGGACAAAGACAGAGAGAGAGAGAGAGAGGGGAAGGGAGACAGAGAGAGAGGGGAAGGGAGACAGAGAGAGAGAGAAAGAGAGAGAGAGTAGAGAGAGAGAGAGGGGGGAGAGAGAGAGAGAGAGACTGAGAGAGACAGACTGAGAGAGAGAGAGAGAGAGAGAGAGAGAGAGAGAGAGAGAGAGAGAGAGAGAGAGAGAAAGAGAGAGAGAGAGAGAGAAAGAGAGAGAGAGGTAAATAGAGAGAAAGAGAGAGAGAACATACCACTAAGGTGTTTGGAGGAAAAAATCCCACAAAGACACAACAGTCCAGGTCAAACTCCATCGCTCGACCACTGTAGCTCCCCACAGGCTCCAGGGCAGGCATATTGGAAAAGCCACATTCTGTCCTCGCACCTTTTGCCGCCTGCACAAAAAGAAATGCAATTTTACTCTTGTTTTAAATTCTTTCCTTCATGGAATGAGAAATTTATCATTTGTCTAAAAAACAATTAGAATAATTTAAAATAATTGACACCTACGCCACTCCTGGTCACCACTGCGCAGCACCCCATCTTTGAGCTCGGCATACTGTGTCTGGACCAATCAAACACCCCAGTGTCATTGACACGACATACTTGGCGTTATTGTGAGCCAAACACAATTCAACACTGAATATAAAAATACTAACATAACCCAACCAACTACCCCCCCCCCCCCCCCCACCAAATTATAATAGTAACTCAAAACAGATTTCTTTTCTTGGCCAGGAATTCTTTTCTTCATTTGCAGCTCCAAATTTCAAGCATTGGTTATGGTAATGGCAAAAATTGTAAGATCGTTTACTTCACTCCTAGTTTTTGTACCTTCTTGTTGAGCCCAATTCTGATCTTGTACCCTCTAAATTAGGGCCACCTATCTGAGACTATCAAACTGCAGAAGCAACAACCACCCAATCCCCCCCCCCCCCCCCCTTGTGTTTTCTCAACATTATAATGACCCTGTTCAACACAATCCCTTTCCTCCTCAACAATGAGTGGTTGTTACAAGAGCCTCAACTCACTGGCTACCCATACTGCTTATGACACAGACATAGTACTGTTTCCGCTGACCACCTTTGCCGCAGCCCCTGCAGTTGTTTTTTTTAGCTCAGAGGTGTTTTTGTCTCGTTATTACATAATTTTTGCGACAAAGGTACTGCTTTTAGAAACTACAACCATTTCTGCACCGAAAGAGCAGAAAAACGGAAGAAATGCACTTCTGGTGCTGAGCGCGAAGTGCTGCTGTGCATTGGACAATGTTTCCGTGTTTATCACATGAAGGAGAGTTACTAACTGTAACAAACTGTGATAATTGGATAGACTGTTGCCATCGTTGGTCCTTTTTGTGTTCTCTTTGGGTATGTGCCCCAAACAATAGGAAACAAACATTTTCGTTACACATAATTCACATTTGATTTGTTTTCCTGGATCCCAATCTGAGGTCCAACCAAAGTTCTTGTGGTAATTTCCAGCCCTATCTTTGTAGTTTTCTAAAAAATTACATGAAAGAAAGAAATCTCATTCTTTTTGTTGCCTTACAATCTTTATTAGGTCCATAATGAGTGTGCAAAGTTTCATGACTTTATGTCAGTTGGTTTTGTCACTGTGATTGTTTGGAAAACAATGAAATAGCAAGTGTGCAGGGTCCATCAAAGACAAATATGGAGGGTTGACAGCGAGTGAAAATGTGACCAATTTCAAATGCAATTTACATTCAGAGACACCACATGTTCAGGTGGAACAGCTTCAAAAAGTGAGAAAACTTGCACACAGCACTTTATTGTAAAACTATGCAACTCACACTTACTTTATTCACCTTGGCTTTCTTTGATAATATTGTAGACTCCGCACCATCAGACTTGACGGACGCGTTGTCGTCTGAAACACAACCAAAAAAAAACGATGACATTTTTCAAACGCCCTCCCGTACATAAATCAGGTCAGCTTCCCGAGGAAGTAGGCTTACTTTGATTAACTTATCGGAACACTAGGCATTACCAACCCCCCAATCACACTGCCATTAACAGAGGTGATGGCCCATTCCCTGAAATGAAATGCAGCACATTTTAAAAAAGGCCACGATGACTTCTGCTGCATTTTTTCTCAAACGCTTTTACTCAGGAAGCGAGAAAATGTACTGTGCTAAAGGACATGAACCCTTGCTTGTCACCTTGAAAAATCCACCCACCCACTTACTTTACTTTTACTTTTCCGACATAGCGGCCATTTGGGTTCTAGCCCTTCGATCTGGTCCCCACCCACTACACTCACATACTGTGATTCACAGAAAAGAACAGATTATTTTCTACTCTCTCACACAAACCTCGAGTTTTATTGTAGCCAACATATAGTTCAACGTTCGTTTGCATTTTTCCGTTCTGTTCTTGTATCATTCTGTCTCCCTCAGCCCGATTTTTCACTGTTACGAAGGCGAAGCTGAAAATAAATCAAGCATATTATTTAACTAAATAGTTTGAGTAAAGAGAATCACATCACCACAATATGATCACAAAGTGCAAGGAAAGAGCAATGATTTTTTTGTTTCAAGGTCATGAGTCGAATGGGTCGTGCTGTGCCAAAACGGTAACTTTTGTGACATCTACGATGGAAAATCTGACTAGCTCCTACTCAAATCGATCAATCCGATTTGAAGTGTGCACTGGGTATAAGGAAGTGCTTCTATAAACAAAATTTAGATTCAACTTTTACTAGACCCTGTGGGGAAACTCAATTTACAATGACATACATCTAAACCCACAAGTCACGAACGGTCATTATATACAATATCACACAAACAGACAATCAGCACACCAGCTGGTTGCCAAGGTGCAACATCCCAGCTTTCAGCTAGGCAGGGTTAATACTGAGCAGATTTTTTTAACCAAGACTTTTCCAAGGCCAGATTTCTTTTATCAAAGACAAATAACGTGTCATTTCGTGTCTTGTTCAATGACATATCCCACCCAGAGGTCACCAACCCAAATGCCATGTCACCAACATAATAGGCTGGACATAACTGCGAGTCTCTGCTTATTAACTACTGGGCCACAAAAATTGACAACACAAGAAGACAAAGACTTACATTTTCCGGCCATAGCATCGCACGCAGACAGAAACTGGATCGTATCTTTCTACCATCTTTCTGAACTCTTCCTGTAACACACAAATTATTAAATATTGAAATCCAACTAGTCCATAATGTTAAAAGTTTAGACAAACAAGAAACTCTTAGGTCGATATGGAAAAGCACCACTTTTTTTCGATGAGTAGACCAAAATATATTTTCGGTTTGTTGGTTTCAGAAAAGAAAACATCCACACAATAATGGGCATTTACCACAGGGAAAGAGTAAGACAGACACACAGAAACAACAAATGGAAAGATATTTTTTTCCTGACCATGCCTTCTTCTGCTTATAATTCAGTCTTCATTTTGACATACACAACATGTCACCTCCTACATCTGACAACTTGAGTCCAGTAACTGGTCAATCAAAAACCCCAACTTCGAGCTATCACATTTACCCCACGCTGGTCTGGCACAACCCTGACACTCCCCCCCCCCTAGTACAGAAAGAGTTAATCTGTTCAAATGAATCATTCTATTATTAGTACATGCAGACCTACTTCATGCTCAATTCGTCCGACAAACAGATCCAAATGTTCTTCAGAAGAGCCGGAGACCACGGCAGCAGAATCTGGAGAGACACATTCAACACATTAAGAGAGAGAGGAAAGACAAACGTGCGTTGCTGTCACACTTATTCCTACATACCTCATAAAATATGCTAACGTTCAACACATGAGTATAAAACATGCAAAAACGAGAGACCATTTTAACATTACATTCAATTTAAACCAGTATACTACCTGAAACAGTAAACATACAGTCCAACCTGCCTCAGCAGTCACCTGCATTAACAGCACAGCCACTGTTCTGTGAAACCCTTGTGTTTTTCCTTTATCTTTAACCTGTCCCTATCCACCGTGGCTATGACCGGTCATTTTTGCAACAAGTCAGCCTCAAAACCTGCTCATAACAATTTTGTTGGAAATGAAATCGAAGATAAAAATTAAGATAACAAATTTCAAACATGTCCATAGCAGCCACCAATCGATCATGATCACTTTTCCTTTTCTCAGTGATCTTGAGTGACAGTGACCACTAGGG